TCAGCAAACCCCCATCACCTTTTCCTTGAGCGCTCCATTTCCGCTCGCCTCTAGAATTCGGTCTACCACGCGCATGGTCGGCAGGAAAGACTCCTGGGCAAGGGTTGTTGGCGTCTTGTCGGCGGGTTTGGGTATGTTTCAAAAACAGGGGATCCCGCAAGATGGGCATGTCTCAAAATGGCTATGCCTCTTTTGGCCCCCCCCCCCCTAAAAAAAAAAACAAATGTGCCGGGGGGGGGGGGGCGCGGTGGGGTGTTTCTCGAATAGCTTGGTTGACTTCCTTTTGAATGCCCTTACACAACCTTCAAGAGGTGGCACCAACTACAACTAGGCAAGCTACTGAGGGCACAGCATGGATCTTCGAAACAAGATCGTTTTTCAATCATGGGCCGCTGACTATGAGGACGCCAAGTGCATGTTCACAAAAAGTTTAACTTCTTGGAGGTTTAGTGGAAAACACATTTATTTCCCAACAAGTTTTAGGGGCCAGGCATATAGATCAACGAATTGACCGCCCCTGCAAGTTGCTCGCTCCTGTAACTCCGGATTCAGCACCGCTTCCCGGAAATAGCCCAGCTGATGCTCAAACCTGAGTCCATATGAGTCAATGCTACAGTGTTACAGGTTTGTCTTTCTTTGGGGGGAACCCCCTTTTCGGCTGGTTTTGAAAGGAAAAGTCAACAGGAAAACCGAAGCCTTCTTTTTTTTTTTTGTTGGGGGAGGGTCCCCGAAAACAGGACACACCCATACAGCCCAAGACGTGGGCAACAAACGAAAAAGTTAATTAAGTTTGTGTTTCCTTAACAGGTCATCAACATATTATCGCCACATATCGTCGCTTCATGATTTCTGCGGTGACTCGCATGAGTTCACCAGCTTGTGAGGTGTCTCCTTTATGATGAAACCTGGTATGAAACCCGTAGAAGGAACACACAAAAGCGTGCGGAAAAAGCCGGAATGCCCAAAGCTGAAAGCAAGGCCAGAGCAAGCGCATGAGCGAGACAGAATGCAAAAAAAAGAAAGCTGCGCCAATCAGATTTCACTCAGCTGAACTCAGGTCACCCAAAACAAATAATCTTCACAAGGTCGAAACCTGGGAGGTCGCTGCATGCTTCATGTTGAAATTGCAAGCAATAAGCTTCTCATCTGGACTAGGTCCTCCAGTAGAGAGGTTAGAATAGGGGAACCCTCCAAAAAGGGTGAAAGGGCACTACTGGGGGACCTAGTGGACCAAACGAATGCGTGAGCCGAAACTCGCATCCAGGGCCTGCCCAGTGATTTTGGTGGTACTGGGGGGCTCCTTAGCCCCAATTCCAAACCCCAGTGACGGCAAACAAGGCCACTCTTTTTTGGGGCAACTTATTTTAAAGGCTCATGAATGAGACCTTGCTGTCAATCAGACTATGGGCCTCGTTCCCACAGAAACTCCCCCTGTCCTGTCATATTGAAATAGGCTTGCCATCCACGTCTTTCTCATTTCTCAGGGGGGGATTATTTTTCTCACTTCAGGGGGATTCCCCCCAAAAACCACGCATCGCAACTTACAACCCAGAATCCCACCATGAGGCCTTGCAGCCAACACTTGGTACCGCAAAACATCGGTGGACCTCAGGCATTGCTTGGGCCCGAGCGTGGTCTCTCCTTCACCATAGAGGGTCTCTGAGTTCTGGTTGCCACCTCACTTGCACTAGGAGTTTCCACACCCAAGCACAAGTGGTTGAGATGCTAGATTGGGGGACAACATGATCCATTCCCTTTTGGTTTCCGTTTGGATAGATTTTGACTATGGCCTACCCTCCCTCCCACGTTGCCATAGCACCTGTGTCCAATAGGAAAGACAGATTGCGTATCTTCTGGCTAGGTCCTCCTGTAGAGAGCTTAGAATAAGGCTACCAACTTTTTTCTGTAGTCTATTTTAGTAGGGGAACCCGAAACCCCACAAAAGAAACGGTGAGAAAGGGCACCTAGCAGGAAAACCCAGCTGGGGAGCTGTTGGTTCCGGTCCGGTGCCACGGCACCTTCCGCAAGCCTTGGAGCGGCGACTCCTGAGGTCCACCTCGAAGTAATAAACACCCCGCACCGCTCCTAAGGTGTAGAAAAACAAAAACGATTGTGTTCATAGGTGGCCTTTTGGAAAAATAGATGGCCCTGGTAAATGAAACAAAACCCTTCTGAACCAGTGCCATCAATGATTGAACACCAGGCTCACCTAAAAAGGACACCTATGATTGTGGTTCAGTGGTCTAGTGAATGAGAAATCACCCTTGCTTGGTGGAGTCCAGGAAGTCCAGCAATCATGCTTCTGAATGGTTTGTAGGATGTATGGCAATTCTACTTTGAATTGGTTTTGTGTTGCGGTCAAAATCCGGGAAGTTTGGCAATGCTACTTTGAAAGGGGCAAGACCGCTTTTGAGTTGGATTTGTATCCGGGTCACATTCCATGAAGCTTGGAAGTACTCTTTAAACAGGGCAATCCCACTTTTGAACTGTCTTTTGTGTTGGACTGCATCTCCAAGAGCTGACCCAGATCAATCTACAAACGATGCTTTGTGGCAATAATGTTTTTCATGTTTTTGGATCTATTCCAGGAAGTGACCCAATCGTTATGAGCTTTATTTCCGGAAGGTTTATTTGTATGGGGGGAAATCCATCTTTTGACTATGTTTTTGTCCTCATTCCCAACTGGGTCGAGTCGAGCCAAGAACATTTGAAGGTGGGACTGATAGGACTTGAACCTATAACCTCCCCCCACCCCACAATGCGGTTGAAGGTGCGCTGCCATTGCGCCACAGCCCCCTTATTAGCTTCGAATGTCAGGGGGTTGTTTAATCACAACAAGCACCTGACTCGCAAACACTGCAAAATAACCAACCCATTCAGCAATGGAATAAATGCTCAGTTGTTTGCAGGCTGTGCCACACAACTCTGGGGACGTCCAAGAGAAAATCCTGGCCCAACCCAAACCCCCCACAGTTCCAGGGTTCCGAGCCCCTCCGCACATTGAGGCGGTGCCAAAGGAAGGGAAACCCAAAGTTGCGGAGCTCGAATGTCTGACGGAATTCAGGCGCGACCGGCCAATTCTGGTTGCTTCATGCCAAAAGGGGATGTATATGACTGGACCCTCAAAATTCCCTGGAACATGGGTTATAACCCAAATGGGGTGAGTTCATGTGAGTTCCCTTTTTGATGGGTAGTGTGAGAGTCCAGGTGGGGTGTGTGCGCCAAAATATGGGACCCAACATGGATTGCGGTAGCCTCCAACACCCTCCTGACAGCTTCCATGATTGTTGGAGGGAGGGCAACTTCTTTCTTTGCTGGAGGGTGTTCCTTTTCCCCTCAAGGGTAGCCTCAACAAACACACCCATGAACCCATGCATCACCTTTCTTTGCCTGTTCTTTAGAGGGCCCCCCAAACGGGCAAACCGGTTTTCCTCGCGTCCCTTCGAACTCAGCCCTTCGAATTCAGCACCTACTGAGCCAATGGTTCGAAATCCGCTTCTTCCGCTCACCTAGGTCCTCCAGATTTGAGAGGCTAGAATAAGTTGGTGCCCAATTGTTCTTCTGTAGTCTATGTTAGTAAGGGAACCCTCCCAACCAAAAAAGAAACTGTAAAAGGGCACAAAGGGGAAAAGGGCACCTAGCTGGGGGACCTAGCCCAAAAACCCAAAACCCAAGCCTCAGTTTCTATGGGACCCCCTCCCAACCAAAAAAGACATGGGTGAGAAAGGGCACCCTCACTTCGCCAGTGACCAGCCACAAAAAAGTGTACACTTTTTGGGCCACTAGCAAAAAGGGAGAGCCACCAAGGAAAAAGTGGCTCTAGTGTGTCCACTGGCTGGGTGAGCTCACCATTCGCTGGGGGACCATTCGCACCTCTTTCCCCCATCGTTGGACCCCCGGGCCTCCGTGTCCGATCGGGCCGCTACGGTCCAGGTGAAAGGATCCATCAACGAGTCACGCGCCATCGAGATGTTGGCCTGGGGCTGAGGGCTGAAACGGGCCAGCAGTGCTTTTGTTGTTTGTTATTGTTATCATTATTATTCTGAGTATCATTCTTTTCTTTTTTATCATTCCAATCCCGGCCCCTGGAAAAAATAGAAAATTCGACATCCTGCACCACCCAAGAAACCATGGGAAGCCTTTGTTCGATAGTATTTACAGGGGAATCATCATTTCAGGGTTTCTTTGGTGGTGCAGGATTTCGTCCACCTACAGTAGTCCAGTAGCGAAATCGATTCCTTTTAAAGCCAGGGCATAAGAAACAATACTACTTTCAGATGGAACAAATCACAGTGCTCACCCGGCCTTTCTTTTGTTGCACTTCCAAGATGGTCATGGCTCTTTTACTAAGCCTCACAATGCTTCTTTACTTCGCCAGGTACCACCTACTTTCACTCGGGGGGCGTTTTGTGGGCCGGGGTCACGTCCCCCCTTTCCAGGGGGTCGTCGCTTTGCCCCGAGAGGCGGGAGAAAAAACCCGCGTTGAACCGGGGGGTTCCTTGAGCCTGAAAAAAAAGACGAGCACTGTGTCCAACAGGAGCTGTCCAATCCCAGATCCCCATCCATATATATATATATATATATCGCAAACACACTAATCACTAAAGAGATGAATTCCTTGCGTAACCCAAAGTGATTGCCTTTGAACAGCCCAGAAATAGTGGGACCCCCGAAACATTGTGGCTTTTCTGTTGCTTTCCTTTTTTGAGGATGGGACCCTCCAAAGCAAACACCCCACGTTTACGGATTTCGTCTTGGCAGGCATTCCCTCAACCATGCACACGGACGCGCCCTAAAAACCCAAACAAAACAATATAATGGACCCCTGCTGACAGCGCCAAAAACCATATGGCTGTGGCTCAAAATTAAACAGGAGGGGCAAGCCGCAGGTTTTGGTCCATGTTTCCACTTACCGATCGGGCAACCCATTTTGGTACCGGTTTTTTGAGCCCCACCCATATTAGCTTTTTTCACAGGCAGTTCGATCTGGTTTCATTGAGGGTTGAGTACGACCCGCATAAAACTTAATAACCTTCTTGGTAGAACCCACAGTCAACCAACTCTTGGTGCTCAACTGGGGAATATTCCTACCGAATCTGCAGAAACAGTTGAACTTCTGTTTGTTTGGATAGTGTTGGCTCCAAGTACCTCAAACTCTCCTGCACCCATTTGTACAGGAATCTGTTAACCCCCCTTAAGTTCCATATCAAGATTCTGGAGAGTAACTGCTGGATTTGGAAGGCCAGCAAGCAAGAAAAAGAAACCGGGCGGACGTGTGTTAAACCAAACTTCTTTTGCCCTTGAACAGTGTGGGTCTTTTAGAGGAGCCCCCCCAATTTTTTGGGGAGGCGCCCCCCCAAAAATCGTGGCTTTCCTTGTTGTTGAATCCGCTTCTTTCGCCCAAAACCGGGCTTTCGCTCCAAAGACCTGCCCTACGGGCTTCAACCTTTTGATCTCCCTCAGGGCAGGTCTTCAGGCTTCAACCCCCAACACAAAAAATGGCCGACCCAAGTTGGAGGACAAATCCTTCACACAGATCGCTTATCATAGGTGTCCTTTTTGGTTGAAAATCGATGGGTTTCCCTGGTAGATGGGAAAAGAACCAGGTAAACCAGGAATCGCCCGAAATATTATTCAACCCAATCAACCAAAAAGGACACCTATGATGGTTGTATGAACCCTCTTTGTGTTAATGGTAGGGGTTTTCCTCTGAACCTCCAAATCATGGAGCTGGGGGCGAGGGAGAGGGAGCCCAAATAAGCCCTTGTTAAGCCCCTAATAAGGCCTTATTTGGGGCTTATTGGGGCTCCCTCCCCCCCCCCCTCCCTATCCCCCAGCCCCCATGAAGCCTCCGCCTCTCTGCCTTTGGCTCCGCGTCTCTGTGGGCGGCCGAGCTGCGGTCAGCTGCGGCGAGAGGCGCAGCGCGGCGGACATGGCGAAGCGGGTCTCGGAGGCAGCGAGGACCTCCGCGTCTTTCGTGCCGGTGCTCCACCTGGGTCATAATCAATTTCAATGGTCTACCCAGAACCAGGGTGTGGGTCAAAATTAATTAGACCACAAAACCGCAGGTTCTAGTCCATGTTTCCATTTACCAGGGTGCCATTTTGGGTACCTATTTTGACCCAGAACCATGAAAAAGAATTAAGAAGGCGGATATCCGCAGCTATTTATGGTTGGGATTTTCCCTTGACCTTCATCTACCCGGGTCCAGTCCCGTTGTTGCGTCTGGCAAACATAGGGACAGGAATATTAATCAACCCCCATGCTGTGGATGGACGAAATCCTACACCGCTTTGAAACCATAGGACGCCATTGTTGGTTGGTATTTACAAGGGAATCATGATACCAAGCAACACTTGGCGTAGAAAGGTCAACCCTGAAACATGCCCGTCACAACTGCTCATGGCATTCTTGGCGACCCTAGGAGCATGCCATGGTTCTACAAAGGCCTAAAATACTTGCAGAGCCGTGAGCCGTGGGGTACTTTGAAGCCACACTTCGTCATACTGCGAATGAACGGAATCCTGCACCGCTTTGAAACCACCAGAAACCATTGTTTGTTGGTATTTACAGGGGAATCAAATCATTCCACGGTTTCTTAGGTGGTGCAGGATTCGTCCATCCACGGTAGGTTTGGTTCTTTTTGGTGTCGGTTTCCCTGGAAAGTGGCGGTTTTTGGACGCGCCCATGTTTGGACACCTGTTGTTTAAAAACGCCCCCTTCAACGGTCAGGGTCTGCCTTGTTTAGACAACTCTTGCCCAAGCCGTACGAGGGAGGTGTCCACTTCTTTGGCCAAACTGCCCCCTTTAAAAACACGACTGACATCTGTGCAGGTAAGCGGGACATATGGCCATGTCCAACTTTTGCGGGTCAAGGGGGGAGGAGAACAAGTCGTGCTTTTTTAAATAACAAAAACGCCAGACGGGAGGAAGGAAAGTCATGTGAATCTGTCTTTGTTGGGGGGCGGGGAGGGGGGGGCGGGGAATTGCTTGTGGTTGGTTTTCTATCGGGAAACCAAGAGGAACACCGAACACCGGGGTCCGAATCCTTAAAGAAGGCATGCCACGAAATGTCAAAACGCGTGGATCGAGTTTCCATTGGGGTCCTGACCCCATTTTTGTTTTGGGGTAATGACCCTATTTCAAAAGCGTCCTGGAGACTGGTGCCCACATGGGTGTGGCTCAAAATCAAAGAGCTGGGCTTACGCAGGTTTTGAAATCTTTGTTTCTCTTCAAGAGGCCAGACAATGGGTACCACTTCTATTTATGCCACAGCCACATGTGGGGCTTCATGTCAACACGCGCGACTTATGGCAACCGAATGGATTCGCCGAGGGCACATGAGCATGTCCACGCAATACCACCAGCGATCCAGGTTCTTCACGCGCTCCTCAGAACGACTTTTCCCCCGCCCCGCCCGCCGTTTGTGGAAGACGCGCTGCTGGTGTAAAAAATATACATGATTTTTTGCTTCCCGCGGCTTGGCAAAGAAGTCCTTAACTAGGTCCTCCAATAGAGAGGGTAGAATAAGGGTACCTGATTTTTTGCCGTCGTCTATTCTAGTAGGCTAGGAACCCTCCCAACCAAAAAAGGGGTGAGAAAGGGCACCTAGCTGGGGGACCTAGTCAAACTGTGTGTTTCTCACCAGCAGAGGCTTGGCCAAAAAACACCAAGCCCAGGAGCTCAGCATAAAAAGAAAAAAACAAGTCCAACTCCGCGAGTGAGATGGACGCCTTCAAAACACGATGGCAACCACGAACGATGGCAGCCAAGACTGTGAGGTCCACGGGTTCCCCCTCTAAACATCACCCAGGATCCTTGGTGAATGCCTTTCCAAGCCTTCAGCCATATCACCAAAGCTGGGGTCCTCTTACGGTTCAATTCCCGGCTCCTGCCAGTTTCCCTTAAAACCTTTCCAAAAAAGGGGGTTCCCCCGGAAAAAAACAAAAAAGGATCCAGATGTTGAATATTTGTTGATTCTGGTCCATGGTGAACCTGAGAATTGTGAACCAACGTTAAATGGCATAACCAAAAGACCTATGCGAAACTGGTCTGAGGAACACAGCCCAACGAACGGGTCCCTAACAAGAAACGGCCGGGTGTGTCTTCTTTGAGTTCGGGATTAGGGGGACCCCCTTTTGGTTGGTTCTACATCGGAACATAACACGAAAACCACCCTTTTGTGAAGACCAGCCTAGTGTAGGTCCTCCAGTAGAGAGGTTAGAATAAGGGTACCTTTTTTCTGTAGTCGATTTTAGTAGCGGAACCCTCCCCCCAAAAAAGAAACGGTCAAAGGGCACCTAGCTCGGGGACCTAGACTAGTGTAAAACAAACCCAACCTCCCGCCCCTGGACACAGGCGCATGCTGGCGCTCCGCCTGCGAGCGCTCCGACTCCGCCGCGTCCGCGTCCGAATCGCCGAGGCGTGCGAGCAGCGCGGGGGGGTCCAGCATGGAGAAACGCACCTCCAGGAAGTTCGGGGGGGTGCTCCCCGCGCTGACCAGCTGCTTAAACCTGGAAAAAACAAACGCACCGCAAAGTGGAGTTCTTTGGGAAAAAGAACTGTGGAAAAGGAAACACCCGCAAGGTGGAGGTGCATGTTTGCAAACAAGAAAAAAGAAGCCCGGAAAAGGCCGAAAAAAAAAAAAAAAACCAATTGCCCTGACAATGCAGCAGGCCGGCCTTATCCGCCAGTGAACGGCTTCCATGGCAATATATAGGGGTTGGAAAACACGCTGTCACCCTAGAGGGGCTCCGGCTTCAAAAGGAAGTCAGCGTAAATTCTGAATTTTGAACAAGGCTCATATGTTGCGTAGAACAATATCACCCGCCAAAAACACATCTCGGCTTGAAGCAGGCCAAAAGGCTCACTAACGAAGGGAACTATGCACTGCCACATATTCATGTGGAACACTAAAACCACCCTTGTTGAGCGGAATCTCCTTTTGGGGGGACCCCTTTGGGTTCCGGAGGGAGGAGGATATTCACCTTTAAACATTCAAGAGACGACTTTGTTTGACTTGGCCTTTCCATTTCATTTCTGGATGTGTCAATGCAAGAAAGGAGAAAGTGAGACATTTTCGTGGGATATGCCACAAATTCCTCTAACCCAACCCCTTCAACAGCCGTACAACTCCCCAAAGGCTTTGGTTGGGGAGCCAAAACCCAACAAATATATCCTTCTTAACCCAAAACCCAACAAAAACAGTCGAGCAACCCACTAACCAACTGCGGTGAGGTACAGAACAAACAAAAAGGGGTTGGAACGACCATCCCCTCCGCGTGCGGCCGACCCCAGGGCCCCACGGCCTGCGCGCCGCCGGGTGGAACCGGTAGTGCGCCGCCTCGAAGACCACCTTCCGGGACTTCTTGGCCGCCTCCAGTAGCACCTCCGCCTCGGACGCGTCCAGCACCGCCGGCTTCTCCTGAGGCCCAACTGGGCGGCTCGCTCGGTTGTTGGGAGTTCTGTGGGTGATGGTCTTAAACGGAAGCCAGAAGGAAAACCGGCTTGGCAGTCATGTTTGGGGCTCCCCTAGACGAAAGACAACAAATGGAAAATCTCTAGTGTATATGGCCAGTCCACCAGGCTGCTCCAATGATAAACCCATCCCATCAGGGCTGCATTCCCCTGACAAAGGTAATATATGAACTCCCTATTAATCCGGAAGTTTCCAGTACTCCCCGAAAAGACCCCCCCACCTACAAGGGACCGGGCCCCTCTTGCTTTGGGCATGCACCACTCGTGTCTCTCTCCAGGAGCACGTGCTTCCCCGCGTTCAGGGCTGCCAGTGCCCAATGGAGGTGGAAAGACGTGGGCAGGCTGATGTAGACCTTAGCTTTTGGCGCGTCGACACGAGCTTGTCGCAAAATACATATTAGTTCGCTGTGTGGCGTGCGCTCTGAGTGCATGCTCTGTCTGTGTGTGTGTGTGCGCGTGTGTGTGTGTGGTGTGTGTGTGTGGTGTTGTGTGTGGTGTGTTCTCTGTGGTGTGTGGTGTGTGGTGCGCGGTGCGCGGTGTGTGGTGTGTGGTGTGTGATATGTGTTGTGTGGTGTGTGGTATGTGGTGTGGGGTGTGGTGTGTGTGTGTGTGTGTGTGTTGGTGTGTGGTGTGTGTGTATGCGTGTGTGTGTGTGTGTGTGTGTGTATGCATGTGTGTGTGTGTGTGCGCGCGCGCGCGTGTGTGTGTGTGTGTGTGTGTGTGTGTGTGTGTGTGTGTGTGTGTGTGTGTTTGTGTTTGTGTTTGTGTTTGTGTTTGTGTTTGTGTTTGTGTTTGTGTTTGTGTTTGTGTTTGTGTTTGTGTTTGTGTTTGTGTTTGTGTTTATGTTTGTGTTTGTGTTTGTGTTTGTGTTTGTGTTTGTGTTTGTGTTTGTGTTTGTGTTTGTGTTTGTGTTTGTGTTTGTGTTTGTGTTTGTGTTTGTGTTTGTGTTTGTGTTTGTGTTGGTTTTTGTGTTTGTGTTTGTGTTTGTGTTTGTGTTTGTGTTTGTGTTTGTGTTTGTGTTTGTGTTTGTGTTTGTGTTTGTGTTTGTGTTTGTGTTTGTGTTTGTGTTTGTGTTTGTGTTTGTGTTTGTGTTTGTGTTGTGTTTGTGTTTGTGTTTGTGTTTGTGTTTGTGTTTGTGTTTGTGTTTGTGTTTGTGTTTGTGTTTGTGTTTGTGTTTGGGTTTGTGTTTGTGTTTGTGTTTGTGTTTGTGTTTGTGTTTGTGTTTGTGTTTGTGTTTGTGTTTGTGTTTGTGTTTTGTGTTTGTGTTTGTGTTTGTGTTTGTGTTTGTGTTTGTGTTTGTGTTTGTGTTTGTGTTTGTGTTTGTGTTTGTGTTTGTGTTTGTGTTTGTG